AACTCAGCATGGTCTATGCTCGGAAAGAGTCAGGACTATTACCAAGATCAGGCCAGCTTCTGAGCATGGCTTCTGGTGGATATACTCTGGGGCTGGGTGGGCTGGTGGTCCTGGGAAGATCCCAGCCCAGTGCTGAGGTCTGAGAACTTAAAGAGGTGGTAAGGATGGGAGTCCCACAAAGGATGTTTCAGGGAGGCTGAGGGTCAGCTTCCTCCCTGCCTGCAGTCCTTGGCCTGGGAACGCAAGAACCCCTTTCAGCTTTCAGAGATGTCTGAAGGAATTGGGGAAGGAGAGGAGGGCTTGGCTGCGTCACTCTCAGTGAAATGTCCCCTATCACATAGGTGTGAGGCTTCCCATCACTCAGGCTTCAGGGAGCTCTTTAAAGACCCCTGGTGGCTCTAAGTGAAGTCCCCAAAGGATTGATCAAAAGGGGGGAGCCAGTTAGGGGTTTGGGAGGTGTAGTAAAGAGAATCTGCACCTTCTCCCTGTGCCATGTTGTTCAGCTTTCTCCTTTCTCTGGAACAGTTACTTTTCAGGGATATAGGGAAAAAACAACATGCCCATTTTTAACTTTAGTCCATGTTCCCTCCCAAAAAAGGGCTCACACAGGTGGTTGAACTGGGGGAGTTATGCTAAGAAGAAGGATTGGGACATTTGGGGTCTGTGAAGGCTGAAAGAAGGAAGAAGGAGAAGCCAATCCATGATGACTTTATTGGATCATCGTTGTGGGCAACCAGAGCTCAGTCCTACTTAGAAGGCTATGAAGCCCCTGTAGAATGCATCTCAGACTTGGCAGCCTGCAGGGTGGAAGAGGGAAGTATTAATCTACCAGTGTCTGCTCCCATTGATCAAGTATTGTCCTTTGGGTGTTAACTTCCCCATACTCTCAGGTTTGCATGTGTATCAGAATGGCCGAGCAGGTTCTTGCAGGCAGATGTGGCACAGAAACCAGGAACAGAAGGTGAGCACTGCTCTCTGCATCCAAAGACACGGCTCTGCCAGGTTTCACTTGCTCGTAGCTGGTTGCTATAGCAATGGCTGAAACAGTAAGGTGGGCCCAAAGGAGGAATGTGGGGCACTAGATTCAGGGGATGAATCCTCTTTGTACCTCCCTCCACCTTCAGATTCAGATCCTGCCAGTTCTTCAAAGACTAACTCAGTCCCCTCCTGAGAAGTTCTTCCAAAGGAATCTGACCATAGTCAACTTTTCCCTTTAAACTCTCAGAGCAGTCACTAAGTAGAACTTATTTTTGCTGGATCTGTATAATGTACTACAATCATTTTACTCTTTGGATAATAACTTATGGTCAGAGATTTCATGAACCCCAACCCCAGGACGTTGTACAGCAGTGGATGCAAAACAGGCCTGTCAGTGTTTATTGCATTGAATAGTATAACAATTATTGATAATAAGAGCTCTGCAGTTTTTAAGTATTTGCTTCCTTGTCAGCACCATAGGCTAAGTTATAGGAATGGAAGAAGAGAACCTGAGTGAAGGTTTTATTTGGGGCTCTGGATTTTAAATTTAGCCTCCAGAACCATGACACTTTCCTACTCCTCAAAGTCTTCAAGTTATCTCTAGCAGAAAATGTCCCCTGCAGCCTTCTGTTTGAAGACTTTGGCGGTGCTGGACTGGCCTTTCCAGATGGTCATTTCTTCCTAGCCCTTTTTCTCACTTCAGCCTGGCACACCCCCTCCTCATGAAGCCTTTCTGGGTCAGATCCACTCAAGTCACTGAATTCAACTCCACATGTATCAACCCAGAGCCTTCTATGGCTAAGTCCAGTGATGCACTATCCCTTTTCCTGGGCAAAAATAAAAGCAATAAGATTTTCTTCCCCATGTCCCTCTAGAATTAGTAATGAACTTGCTCTATCCAAATCCTTTTGCCATTCTCTGATGTTGACTCATAGGCAAAATGAGTGATTAAGGCAGTGGCCTGTATCAGCAGAACTAAGCTTACTGCCATCTTGAGACAAAGGTAACTGGTCTTTTGGGAGTTGAACCAATGACCTGGACCTCATTGGCACAATGCTTTAGCTGACACAGACTAGTCCATCATCTATTTTTTGTTATCTAAAGAAGGCGTGCACTGGACATGAATAACAGAAGCCATAGGTAATTCAACTCAACGAAAAGCTAATGAAGGCATATAGTAAGCCAGGCCTTGTGTTACACAGCAGGGTACTCTGAAAAGACCTTCGTATTTGGCAGCAGAGATCCTGGGTTTGAATCACAGCTCTGCCATTTGCTGGCTGTGTGATCTTAGGTGAGTCACTTGACTGCTAGATGTCTCAGTTTTCTCATAGGTGGGATTTTATTGAGGATCAGATGAGATACAATATGTGAAAGCACTTTTAAACAGTTGAGTGTGAGATAGTATTAGTTTTTATGTAAAGAAGAACAGGACCTGATCTCTATCTTTAAGGCTCTTACCTTTTGTCTGAGTCTGCTTGGGTTGGACTTCTTCCAGAGAGAAAATTTCCTTGAGGAATAAGCTCAGGGCTCCAGTCCACTTGAGCAGAAGGGAACCTTCTTGTGGGAAGAAGTCGTCTTCCCTCCATGTGGTCCAACTTTGCAATCAGGGAGGAGGCTGCTGGTGTCCATCCATCTGAGCAGGTGGCAGCTGAATGCCATAGGTAAGAGCACACAGCCTGGAATATGTATTCATGGATTACAGAGAATTCACAGATCTCTCTGGGTAGACCCCCAAGGTATATAGGTAGGTATTTTGGGTAAATTGTTCTAGACAAATGGTTTAAAAATCAAATTTTCCAGGCTGGGCACGGTGGCTCACGCCTGTAATCCCAGCACTTTGGGAGGCCAAGGTGGGTGGATCACAAGGTCAGGAGATTGAGACCATCCTGGCTAACATAGTGAAACCCTGTCTCTACTAAAAATGCAAAAAATTAGCCTGTCGTGGTGGCGGGCGCCTGTAGTTCCAGTTAGTCGGGAGGCTGAGGCAGGAGAATGGCGTGGACCCGGGAGGCGGAGCTTGCAGTGAGCTGAGATCACGCCACTCCACTCCAGCTTCAGCGACAGAGCGAGACTCCGTCTCAAAACAAAACAAAACAAACACAAAATTAATTTTTTAAAAATCAAATTTTTCCGTAATTGACAGAAACCTTCTCCCCATAAGTCCCACTCAATTTGAGAAGATGTGTACATTCTGACCAGTAACCAGTCAGACCTCAAACAACTAATTAAGTTGTAGAAATATTAATGGCCGTGCTCATGTTTGTCTAGAACTTAATGAAGCACATGAGCTGAGAAACTAGAGTTACCCAAGTTTGGAAATCTTATAAAGTGGTTAGTGTTCAGGAAAGGTGGAAGAAAATTGAGAGGCTTTAAGAAAAATCAAGATTGGGAATATTAGAGAATCTAATCCACTAGAAAAATCATTCAACTGGGAATAAATGAGAAATAGGTGGGTGAAAAAGTTCTATCATTTCTTTCTTTGGCATGTGTTGAGTGTGATGTGGTAGGACATTTTCTAGCGGCTGGGGTATGTAGTAGACCCCTGTTGTCTGGCGGAGCACCCATCCCCCAGCTACTAAGGACTCACATTTGCACCCTTCTCTGGAGCCCTGCAGCAGGGAAGCACTCCCCCCAGTGATGCCTGGATGCCTGGGAGGTTATGCTACCTTCATCCCCCCACCACACACACATAAACACACACACACTCTAGGGGCAGCTTGCAGCCAGTGTCTGGTTGTTAGGGATGGGAGTAAAAGCGCAGTCCCCTTGTCTCAAGTGGGCTGACTCTGTGATGTCATTCAAGCTCCCAAGTGCCCCCTGGAATCAGGCTGAAGCTAGACCCACAGCTTGACTGATCTCTCCAGCCCTATCCAGTTTCCCTCACTCATATGAATTTCACCCTCAATAAATCACTTGAGTAAGAATTCTCATCTCAGGGTCTGCTTCTAAGGAACCCAAGTTAAGACAACAGGCAATGCTGAATAAATCAAAAGTAGTCTCCCTCTGGGAGCTTGTACTGGGGGAGATACGGACAAATACACAAGCATTTATAATGTAGAGTCACAATGGTAGCTTCAGAAGATACACGGTGCTCTGGGAACAGCAATAATCACAGGGTGTTTCTTAGAGTTGAACATTTCTGAGCTGAGAACTGAAGTATAACTAGGAGCTGGCTGGGTAAAGAGTTTAGGGAAATAAAGAATTTCTCAAGCAGAGGAAAAATAAGATATTGAGGATGAATGGAAAATACTGCAATATATGCACCCTACGTCATAAATGATTCAGTATGACTGAAGCCAAGGGTGAGAGTAGCAAGAAAAGACACCAGATACAGATTATGAAGGGCGTAGTGAGATATTAACACATTTCTATTGTATCCCTGGGAAAATGAAAAATAATGAAGAATTTTAAGTGGAGGACAGATGATAATGAGAGGAGAAGCCAGCTGGACATTTCTGGGTTGAGTGGGGGACTTGGAGAACTTTTCTGTCTAGCTAGAGGATTGTAAACACACCAATCAGTGCTCTGTGTCTAGCCAAAAGATTGTAAATGCACTCTGTAAAAATGGACCAATCAGCACTCTGTAAAATGAGCTTATCAGCTCTCTGTAAAATGGACCAATCAGCAGGATGTGGGTGGGGACAAATAAGGGAATAAAAGCTGGCCACCTCCTGGCACCCAGCCGGCTGCTGCAACTCGCTGGGGGCGGTATCCGTGTGGAAACCTTGTTTTTTCACTCTCCATAGTAAATCTTGCTCACTCTTTGCATCCGAATGAGCTCTATGAACTCTAATACTCACCGCCAGGCTCTGCGGCTTCATTCCTGAAGTCAGCGAGACCATGAACCCACCAGGAGGAACAAACAACTCCAGTTTCGCCCCTCTAAGAGCTATAACACTCCCTGCAAGAGTATGTGGCTTCATTCCTGGAGTCAGTGAGACCACGAACCCACCGGAAGGAAGAAACTCCGGACACATCTGAACGTCTGAAGGAACAAACTCCGGACATACTATCTTTAAGAACTGTAACAGAACCCACCAGAAGGAATAAATTCCGGACGCAGTAAGATCACTATTTCTTAAAAATCCCTGGGCTGTAGAATGGGAAAAAAAGACTTAGAAGGCAAAGCTGATAGTAGGGATACAACATCAGTTAATATTTCAGTTGTAATATTACAGTTAAGGGCTAGAGTATTGGCATTGGAGAGAAAGGGACTAAATTCTCAGCTCCAACACTTACCAGCTTGGGTAAATTATTTATTCTCTTTAAACTTCAGTTTCCTTAATGGTAAAATGGGGCTACAGTAATAACCAGAGCAGATATGCACATTGAAGGATCTAATGTATGAAGAGGGATTTATTATTATTTTTGCAACAGTTGGCACCTTGGAAGCACCATCAAAATGATCTGTTGTTATCCATGTGATCTTAACCTGGGCAACAGTAGTGGAAATGGAAAGATACAGATCGTTGGTGCTGTGGCACACACGTGTAGCTCCAGCTCCTCAGGAGGCTGAGACGGGGGATCACTTAAATCTAGTGTGGACAACATAGCAAGACTCCATTTCTAAAAAAAGTGTAGCTGGATTCAAAAATTGTAGGAGGTGGAATTAAAGGGTTGGATGTGGAAGTGGAAATGAAAGAAAGTAAGGTGTCAAGGATTTCTGGCTTGGGCAGCAGGTAGATTGCAGCATCTTTCCTTGAGATAGGACTTTAGGAGAAGGTGAAGATTCTGAATGGAAGCTATAGAACTGGATGTGTTGCTTTTGAAGAGCCTATGAGCTACCCAAAGTGGAATTGTCTGGAAAGTAGTTGTACATGAGAGGCTGAAATTGAGGAGAGAGATCTGAGTAGAACATACATAGGTAGGGTAGAGGAGAGAACTCAGACAGTGTGTACTGAAAATAGAGAAGAGGGCGAGGCATGGCACTGGACCGGGGAGACAAAAGTGAGAAGACAAGACTCCCACTCTCAGGGAACTCAGTCTGGTGGGGGAAGCAGATAATTAAACAGATCATTAGAATACAGTGGAATACACCCCATATGTTCAGTTTTGGACCAAAGCTATGGGGTGGATCCCAGCAGTTGAAGGAACTGAAGATAGAACAAGGACTCTAAAGGTCAGAGCTAAAATTGGAGATAGTCAACAGGGTGGGGATGGGGCAAGGAAGGAAAGGGTGGAACAACTTGGAAAAGATTTGGAATGCTCTTAAGCCAGAGACAAAGTAATTGACTGAAACGTCGCAGCATTAGGAAGAGTGTTAGCGCTCTTGGATTCCATGCTTCTCAGACTGTGCATCATGGAATCCTCACAGTTCTGAGGGGCCCCTATGGTTAGAGGCCACCATAGTGGAGGAGTTGAAGCCAAGCAGACACCCTACGAAACCAGAGTTGTTATCTTGTTTTGCACATTAAAACTGTGTGCAAGCTTTCTTTTGAAAAAAAGAAAAGTTGTTGTGCCTGAAAAAAAATGGAAAGCTACCAGCTTAAGGTAAATCAATGTACAGATAAAGAATACGAGGCCCAAAGAAGCTAAGTCAACATGCTTAAAATCAAATCATACAGCTAATTAGGGATCAAGTTGGGCCTAGAACCTAAATTTTTGATTCTCAGGCTGGTGTTCTTTCTTGCTATGTCTGAGACCTTGTATTTCTAATTTGCGTAGTCCACATTCATTTGTATCTTCAGATTTTTCTGAGCTGTAGTAAAAGAGATGTGTATTTCAAACATCATGGGAACAAGGCGTGGGAGGGATCTTACAGAGCAGCAATTAAAATCATTGCTGGCATGTGGTCTTTCACAATAAAATTCTCCCCTTCCTTTTGATTCCTCTAGGCAACAGCACAAAGTTAAACCAGGAAGTCCCTCTGCCTTGCTAGGGATCCAGGCTTGCCTTCCTGTTGAGGTATCCCATTTCATCAGTTGACCTAAGTTTGAACAAACACTGCCACCTGATGCATGAAAACTCTACTGTGACCTACGTTAAAAGGTAATTTTCAAAAAAAAAAAAAAAAGATAGAATCATGAGTCATACAGATTGAACATGAACATGTGTTAGAGATTTTGTATAACTCAATCAATGAGAGAAATAGGCAGATATTATAACTAACTGGCTCAAAAGAGAATACAAAGAACATGTGTAGATCAAGAATATTGAAATGAATGCACAAAAAAAGGGCAAAACTGACTTTTTCCACAGAGGGAGTGGGAGTCAATTGAACCTCTACCAGAAGGGACAAAACTTGAATGTTTACAGACAACAATTATTTTGCAATGCTATCAGCTAGTTACAGTTTACAAAGTTGTGAAATAGCTCCCATAGAATCCAAATCAGATAAAAGATAGCAGAAGGGTGTGCGATGGACAACACATAGTTTTCCAAAGATGTGCAGACGTTTTCCTTACAACTATTGGAAAAGCAGAAGTATCATTTACAACAAAACATGGGCATCCCAGGTTCCTTTTTCTGTTTTATATACATGCAAAAATATAGAAGTGTGTATGTGTACATGTATTTGCATATACTTTTTAATATAAAAAATTCACAGAAAAGTATTTAACCCTGAATTCATGCAATGTACCCTGATACTTTTTATTCTATTCTTTTGTTAATGCTGGTATCCACACAAATTAATTTCGTGACTCCTTAACGGATTACTACCCACGAATGGGTCAAGAATTCACGTTTGTAAGCAGGGGACTAGATCAGTGGACCTCAAACTGTCTGTTGTGAAGCACCAGTTTTTAAATATTTGACAGTTTTCAGTCCTTCACATACTGACCGATGCTTTCGTAAAACACGATCAAAATAAATTATTAGGAAAATGAAGTGAAAAAAATTCCCATAGACTTATACAATGCAAGCTCAACTTTTTATTGTTAGATTTAACAGACATAAAATTGGATGCTGCGGCAAGGTCAAATTCCTATTTAAAGGTTTCCAAATGCTTATTCTGTTTCTGTGCTTCATTTCTGCACACTGAAACAATGATGGATTCCACTGGTCCTTGGACCACACTTTGAGTAGCACTGACTAAGTGACTACCTCTGACAGTACAGTGATTTTTTTGTTTTCCAGGAGCTGACACGCCTTCAGGCTACCTTAGTCAGTGGGGGCTTGTTGCAGCATACCTGTGGCAATGAGAGAGAGGCACATCACAGGAGCATCTGGCAGCAGTGGCCTCCGGGTGAGTGAAATGTTATATGGACACTGGAAGGATCTAACACTGAGGCGGCCCTTCATCTCCGTGCTGTTCACTGCGAGCATGCCTCGGCTGCTCTTCCGTGTTCATCCTGATGCTCCTCATGACACTGATTGATTGTTTTTTGGAATTTCCCAGTTCACATTCCCAAGAGAACCCATTGCCCTATTTAATCATCTCTTCTGTTGCTGAGGAACTTTGTGCAGTACTGGGGTTGCTTGCTGCCTTAATGTCGGGGGTTGGCCAGGCATCCGGTCATAGGGCAGAGTAGGCTCTTGTGGTATAGAAATGGCCACCCTCCTTCCAGGAGCAGCCGGTCCTCTTCCTCAGCACAGCAGGGAAAGGTGAGGAAGAGGCTAGTTTGCCTTGGAAGAGGATTTTGAGAAAAGGTTGGACCATCTAAAATACATTTGACAATTCTCTATTCCGAAACCCTGAATAATCCTTGGAGGTCACTCACCGTGCAGGAGGCTGAAGAAGGGTAACACTGACACAACTGCAGACACAGACCCTCCTGACTCCACCTCTATCCTACCCTAGAACTAGATTAAAGAGAGACTCTGGAGAACTTACTCATACCCAATGGGGTACTTCTGCATTTCTCTAGAGTCAGGAGACACTTTCCGTTTGTGAATATTTATACTTCTGAAGACATTTGCAGATCTTCAAACTGTTGGTTAAACAGTAGTTTATACTGTCCCCCCTATAATTCAGAAACGCGTAACTTCAAACGAATGATGACTTGGCCGGGCGCCGTGGCTCACGCCTGTAATCCCTGCACTTCGGGAGGCCGAGGCAGGCGGATCACCTGAGGTCAGGAGTTTGAGATCAGCCTGCCCAACATGGCGAAACTCTGTCTCTATTAAACGTACAAAAAATTAGCCAGGCATGGTGGCGGGCGCCTGTAATCCCAGCTACTGGGGAGGCTGAGGTAGGAGAATCACTTGAACCCGGGAGGCGGCGCTTGCAGTGAGCCGAGATCGCGCCACTGCACTACAGCTTGGGCGACAAGAGTGAAACTCTGTCTTAAAAAAAAAAATGACAAACTCAATGAAGCACATAGAACAATCAAGGTGTACTGAGATGTAGACAGTAGCAGTGAACAATTCTCTACCCAAAGCTGAAGGAGAGTCATTGCCCACCATAAGTCAATCCAAATCTGAGAAAATTACAACTTAACCCCTTTACTTTAAGGGTTGCCCATGAATAGTCACAGCTAGTTATGTCAAATCCTTGAATGCTGGAGTCTGTGTTTACATCTCTACCCATATCCTTTCATTTATTTCATTTCATACCAAAATGAACAGGCCTATTACATGATGTTTAGATTTTCTAGGCTTGTCCACATCTCCCATATATAAGATGTAATGTGTATAAAGTGCTTAATACAATGTCTGCTGCATAGGAAGCACTCCATAAATGTTAACTCTGACATACATATATATTAAACCTTTACTAGCTAGATTGCTTGAGTTATTTTTTGTGCACGTGGCTGTATTGATGCCTGCTTAGGTAATAGCCATCTTCATTATTCAATATGATTCTGGTTTCCTCTCAAGTTTAGTGAGGTGTGGTTTTTCTGTGATGTTCTCCTCCACTAGTTTTCAAGCTCATCTTGGAAGGTCTTTTACAACCTCGATAACGGCCTGCAGTTATTAGTAGCAAGAATGCTGTGTACACTGTGGGCACCTGACACATGCTGCTGGCTGACTGACTGATTGATTTACTATGCTCCCCCTTTGCCCATTATAAGCTTTCATCACTGCAAATGTAAGAATCTTCCTTTCTACATCTCCTGCCATCCAGAACAGTCCTCGTAGATCTCCCTGTCTCATTGACTCACCATCTCATTTCACCCTTTCTTCCTTTTTCTGGACCTTCTAACTTTTTCTCCCTGGAATATCATTTTTTCACTCAGCGCGCACACATTATCTAGTTTTGGAAAATACTCCCTATTTGCTCCTATATCTTAATTTGGCTGTCCCCATTTCTATGCTGCCTACTAGTATAAATGAGACAATAGCTCAAAGAACAACTTGTAAAAAATGAAAAACTCCATGCAGAGAAATTAAACACATACTTTAGACCAGGAGGTGAATCTATGGGTAAGAAAGCTTCCTTAGCTGTGTTCTGTATGAAGCTGTGATTGGGTGAATGTTTTTAAAGGAACTCTCTGAATAGGAAAGGGGATTGGGGTGGGATGAAGCCTTGGCCATCTGGATGAGAAAGATTCAGTTGCTGAAACAGATCTCTGGAGTTAATGAATTTCACAGTCCTTTGCCCTTACTTTGCTTGTCTTAGTCTAGAAACAGACACCTGGTGTGAACTTGTTAAATGGCAGGAATAAGTAAGGAGTGAAAAAGAGGTAAAGCAAACTTCTTTGCAAACTGCTCTCCTTGTGAAAGTAAGTAGGTAGCTCTATGAGTGACGGTAACTCACACAGCCTCTTGGTTTTGTGTTGAACATAGCACCAAAGTTCACACGCATTTACACACCTATAGTTTTTTTCTCTTTTTTTGTAAATCAGGTCTGGCCTAATTACAGGATTTCATTGTATTTTTATACATATAATAATCTAGTTTCCCCTGTAAATGATTTATTTACAATTCAGTTAAACAGCCAAGGAGAACCAACTGTTAAAATAAACATGTTTTTAAATAAGATACAATGTGTATAATTAGACAGAACACATACCCCTATCTTACTGTTTGATTTGCATGATAATACAAAATAGGTCATTTGAGGCTATGCCAAATATCAGGGATTAGATGACCTTTAAGTTCCTGCCAAGCTGGAGAGCCTATGATTTTGTGATCTGAATGAAAAATGAAAAATTTAGTGCATCATCCAAATGTTTACAAGAATCCAGCTGTTTGATGTCAGGTAGACAAAACACCTAGACAACTGACAGAGATGCTTCATTTTCATCCAGATGTTTTTGCATTGCATTGATTTAGCCTGACACATAGCAAAGTTAAGTCACTTACTCAAGATTTGTGACAAAACCTTCTGAATATACTGGCAGTAAAATTGTTGAGAGATTTGCCATTTTAGTATCAGTGGCACGAATGTTTTGCTACTGCCCCATTGACAGCTTCTGAATGCATAAGATTTGAAAATAGTCAATTCAGTTCTCTCCATTCTCCAGCTCTGTGCTCTCCTCACTGTCTCCATCCCCCACACCCCCAAAGGCCTACGTTAACCTGAGCTCTGACCCATGACAAAGTGGTCTCCTCGATCACAGGGCTGTATATGTGGCCTTTGTCATGGAAGCTGCTTCTGTTCACAGTGATCACTGTGTCTTGGGGACATTGCTATCTGGGCCAAATGCTGGCCAAATCAGAATTTCCGGTCATCCTAAAGGTTGATTGCAGTAGGCAGTCATAGCCACCATTCATCCTCCCATTATCATCGTCAATAATACCACTCATCTAGGTTTGCCTGTGATTCAGGGACCTGGTTGAGGTGACTGATGCTGACCAAAAGTCATTATTATTATTATTATTATTTTTGAGATGGAGTCTCACTCTGTCACCCAGCCTGGGGTGTAGTGGCATGATCTCAGCTCACTGCAAGCTCTGCTTCCCGGGTTCACGCCATTCTGCTGCCTCAGCCTCCCGAGTAGCTGGGACTACGGGCACCCGCCACCACCCCCGTCTAATTTTTTGTATTTTTAGTAGAGACGGGGTTTCACCATGTTAGCCAGGATGGTCTCGATCTCCTGACCTCGTGATCCACCGGCCTTGGCCTCCCAAAGTGCTGGGATTACAGGCATGAGCCACCGCGCCCGGCCCTGACCAAAAGTCTCATCCACACACCCGTCAATTTAAACACTGTCCTTGAGTTTGCAGCTGTAGCCACTGTATGGAGAGCCCTATGTGGTTTACACATCAGTGTCTTTGACTCAGCTTCTTATGGTTGCCTTGACTCCCGGTGAATCCCCCAGTGCCTGATTGCTGCCCATCCCAGGCCCATCTGGTAACCCTTATGCTCCAAATGTTGCAAACTTGACCACTTAGTTTGAAATTGTGCTTCAAAGGCATCTTCCTCTGCGATCCTTCCTGGTTTCTTTTCCCCCAGCACCCTGCAGCCTCATTTTCTTTACCACTGCCTCCGTCTGGCTCTCTGCACAGGCCCCGTTGCTGCCAGTCAAGCCCTGCCTGAATCTGGATAGTATGGCCTTGGGTGCCCAGAGGGCTTTTGCTCAACCAAATCCCCTATGCGACCTTGAGCGAATCCCAACACTTCCCTGGGCCCCACTGTCCTAATCTTAACATGAGAATGTTGGACTAAATCAGGTCTGAGGTCTCCTCCAGTTCTAAAATTATATTATCTCTCTAATACTGTGAGACTGGCTGCCTTCCAAGGTGCCACTGCTCATCATTCTATCTAGTTGTTATGCAAGGATTTCAGGAGGAGGAAAAAATAAGGCTCCAGGAGTAATACCTTGAAAAATTACAAAATGTGTCTGCTACCTTTCTCATCTTCACGAGCCCCTTGTTTTTCTTCTGTGTTGAATTTAAAACTCAGAGACTTAAACTCACACATTATGACAGTTCTGTCACTTCCTTAAATTACGCAGTAAAAACACACAAAGGTGCAGGTAAGTTTAGCACCTTGAGTATTTTAGAAGCAATGCTGTGCTGGGCTGAGGATGGGGGTGTGTGGTAGAAAGAGGTGCTGCACCGGAAGCCAGAAGGGAAGGAGAGCCTTTAGGGGAGAGAGACGTTAAGGGCCTGAGGGAAGGGAAGGTGCCTGAGCTCAGGGACTGTAAGGGAGGACTGTTCACCTTGGATGTCCAATTAGCACTTTCTCTGGAATTTAGATATGTTAATTCCACATGAACGTATTGCCTAAAAAAAGAAAATAAATTCAGTTTATAAACAGTCCCTGGATGCTTCCAGTGTTTAGATTTTTTAGATGAACAATCTCCTATGGTATTAAAAGCTTGTCCTTCTCTGGCAAGCATGGTCCAGGACAGATCATGTTGAGTGCTTTCCTCTAACATATTTATATTGGTTACGTCAGGTTAATGAACACCCAAGGCACTTTTCAAGAAGTCACAAAAGGGGTGAGTCTAAGCAGCAGGTGTTGAAGTAGAAAAGAAGGCCTGTCTACACACTCTCTTTATGTGAATGAACCAGAGGTTTTTGCTGTTGCAAATGTGGTTGATTTTATAATTTGAAACCACTAACTGATACAGTGATTGACTTTCCAAAACATACCCCTGGTGGTGATTAAAAAAACTACTGAGATTATCCCCGATTTGGGCCTCTAAACTCAGGGATGGTTCTGGATAAGCAACCCTATTTCCAAGTGTGTCTTAGGTGATGCTGGTTGAGAATGGGACACCCATTCTCTGGGAGCCAGCCAGAGAAGTTACCCTGCTTTTGGAGAGATGGGCTGTCACTGAGAGAACAGTGCATCACTAGGGAGGATCGAATTCATGCTCCTCCTCCCACAACAAATCTTGTAGCTCCATAGATACTCCTTGTTTCTCCTTGTCTCCCTTTTCTCATACCCATGTCAACCTCCCTCACTCAGTAGTCGACTCATTGAGGATTTGCTTTAAAAACCTATCAACATCTTAATCTTCTCCAAATCAGCTTCTCTATGGCCAGGAGAACCGAAGGTTAGGATGTCCATCTCTCGTAAAGTTTCTGTAGCAAGTGAAAGCAAGAGGGTCCATTGGGGTGGTAGGGCAAGAGGCTAATCCTCAGTGCAAAGGTAGTCACTAAGTG